TCAAGAGTACTGGTCTCCAGGTAGCTATCCATGGGTGATTCCATTCAAGAAGTTCCGCAGCTGTTTGGAGGCCACGTGAATTCCAAAGGCGTTCTCCACTCAGGCCGCGACTGGAGATGACTTCATATTTTGGTGTACATGAAGGTGAATGGCGGCAGCCGGCTCCTGCTTATAGAGGAAGATCTTGGGTATCTTCCGCCCTGGTACTCATATCCACTTCCTCTGTCTGGGCTGCGAAAACTTCGCTCATATGTGACTCGGCCGGAATGACTTTTTTTTGGCCCCCCCCCTGTATAGTTGGTGGAAAACAGGCTAGCATCGCATAAAACCCAACCTCCCCTTACCCCTAAAACGCCCTAGCGTTCGCAGCGAACAAGACTGCACGCGGATTCCCCAAAGTATGTTTTAGTGAAAAACGACATGGATGTATTGGTTGCTCCACGGATATGCTACTCGTTTATTCGCTGAGGGCACTTTCTTAGTACGCGACTCGAGCGACTCAACCGCGCGACTGCGGCAACTGCTCGCACCGCGAAACATGAACACAGCCCAAGCGCACCATGACCATTTGGTGCGGTTTACCATCCCTATTACTACCTGCTTGACGGTATCGCTCATAGTGACTACCCCTACGTGAAAACCCTTTGTGTTCACAGTGGCCACAAGCCGACCAACCAATATTCTGGATATCTACCGTTCTGACTGACCGATTTCACCTAAGTCCAAAGCTGTCTGGTTCCTTAACTTTCATCTTTTAATTAAATGATAAAAAGATGAAGCCTTCGCCGTTGATCAATCTTTCCTAAAGCGCAGTAATTGACAAGTGACCTTTGCATTGTTTGTCACACGTTATTGACGAATAAATAAATAAACAAGCAAAAAACATCGATCGGGCCACTGATAGGGTAATGATTACAAACGAGCTATGTAATCTGGAAACTGATTTCGAAACGGTAAAATAACAAAGCAAATATTAATCCAAGAAAGTATATGAAATAAAGAGAATTCCCCCTAACAAAAGGTATAAACTTACTGCAAAAGCCAAACACAAATACAGTAAACAGGAAACAGCATGTAACGAACTCAATTCAGCAACACTTCCAGTGTTCGTTAAGATTCTTTTGAAACGAGTGACAAAAAGAGCAAAAAGTTGGCAGCTCACAAAGGAACGTACAAGAATAACATAGCAACTAATTGGACATTTTGTCATGAAATAGTCCAAAATTTCTTGACCAAATTTTACTTATTTATGCAAACAAGCAAAAATAGGAACTTCCGAGATTTTGTTGGAAACAGCCCAAATCGAAGGGAATACCAATATAATATAGCACTGAATATGCACTAACTATGCCCTAAAAGCTCATTAGCGCAGATGAGCAAACCGAAATTGCGAGAATCCTAAACTAGAGAAAGTTGCAAGGCTAACGCTTACATTGTAAATACCGAAGAGTTAACGCAAGTCACTTTTGGAGCGAACCATGAACACCACACTTTGCCGAAAAGAGAATAGAGGCAAATCGAAGGGAATCAAATTCCACTGCTAAACCGTGGCTTTGTAGAACCCTAAGGGAATGTTTTAGAGGTAAGCTGAAGGAAAAAGTGGCAGAAAATCAGCGGATTTCTCTAGGGTTACTGAAAAGTCAATATGGATTATGTAGGATTTCATTTCAACACCTTCAGTGAATTTCTCTAACGAGAATTCGAATGAAAAGGAAGCATAAGAGCGTATCCTTGAATCCTTTTCCATCGAACCAGGCCAGCAGATATCAAAAAAAAATCAAGGGCGCTGTGTTACTATGCGGCCGCAATTGCTGGGTATTTAGCGATGCCATCATGGGGCACAGCTAATTGCCCGAGATGGGAGGTGTGGCTGGAGCCGCCGCAGCCGTCGCGTACGAGTTAGCCGTTGCGCATTCCCTCATGGCTCGGTCAAATTGCTAAAGGGTTCATTTACGAACGGCCCACACTAGATTGTTGGTCGAAAATCCCGCAAACTGGATCCGAAATTTCTCGCTCCACTGACAATCTATGAAAACGCTCATGCAACTCTGAAATGTTCGCACGACTCGCCGCGCGCGACATCAGCAGCGTGACCCCTTACTGGCTCAAGATAGAATCGGCTGTCTCCGGCAATCGTCTATACTCCCATAACACGCCAAAATATCGTCATAGCCACTAGACATTTTGGAGTGCCGTGTAATCTATTAGGATGTTCGAAAAGTCCTGCGACACTTTGACCATATTTTTCAGGGCGCTAAATTTCTGTCACTAAAAGACATCTCCAATCTATAAGGTAACCGCAGTTGATGAATAGGACTAGTGCCCTTCTTTCGCACAGCTTCTCATTTCCATTCTCATAGAACTACAGCAACTATGATAAAAAGAAGAGGTGGAAGTCATTAGTTGAGGTTGATTTTCGGAATTTTCGCTTTTTAAAGGATGCGATAGGGACCAAAGCAGGTGGCAGTTAGAGGCTGCTAGGCTGCTAACTTTGTTAAATAACCTGAGTACGGTCGCATTCTCTGATCGAAATCCATGATCTTTTGGCGTAGCCTGATCCCCACATGTGGTCTTCGCATTGCCGAGTAGCAGAGAAAAATTGAGTATTTCTGAATGAATCCAAGCGTGACGTCACCCATATTTTGAAGTCGATTAGGGAGGACTGTGGTCCTTACAACAGTGCTGGTATCCAGTGATGCCGCTTTGAGGTCCCAAACACACTGAAATTTTTATCTCATGCACATCTTCTTTTAGCTAAGCAATCTACTTTTCTGTTTGAGAGATCCTGCAAGGGACATGTGTATGATGTACGCAAGGACTCCACCGCTCGCTACCAACCACAAGATCTCACAAAAGCTCCTACGCTGTGTACAAGGAAAAAAAAACTCAGTCACGGTCATTCGGTATGACTTGTCAGAGGGGTCAACTCATGAGGCATCCTTTACAAAAAAAATTTCCGATAACCGAGATTGCGGAGAAGCACGGCAGTTGTCAGTGAGGTGGAGCCTGGAGGGGTTGCCAACTACTGTTGGTTACCTTCGGCTGCGCCTCAACAAGCTTGAGTAAAGGGCCGTCATTCTGTGCTGGTGGGCGACCTATACATTGCCTAACTACGAGTTAAATAAATCCAGCCTGGAAGCGCTAATGCAAAAGCTACCCTCTGCCATGGAAGGCGATATCCTTCCTCAAGACAACGTAGGTGTCAGCTTCCTCGACTACGGCGGAGTGGCCCTACAGGAACTCATAATATGGGATAGGTCGAAAAGTACCTCGATATCTGAGGGACTTTAAGCTTTGAAACTTCCACAAGGTCATGATATAGCCATGTGCAGAAACCCCAGAGGACAGTCTCCAATAATCAGGGATAAATACATCCAAAATGATTTTTGGTCTTTTTCTATAACAATTCAATCAAAGTGTCGCAGGACTTTTCGAACAACCTAGTATAAACATGCGCTGGAATAATGAAAAGAATTGAACGTCAAATTTACCTGTTCGAACAGCTACCCAGCATAAAAGATATGCAAAGCGTTTGAAAAGGGTTTTTGCTTGAGGGGCTAGGGCTGTCTCCTCGCCGTTGACATGCCATGACAGTTCATGCGACATATCCTAACCCGATGGCTAATGTGAAGCGCCGTCACATAACATTTCCTGACGCGGAAAGAGCTGTATAATGCCCGCATAGATGCACGGGCTTACGCTACTATAGCGTCAACTATCAACTCATACTACTATAGCGCCAACTATTAGATCACCATATAAGAGTTCCACAAAAACTACCAGATGACCAGTGGCCCTTCATGCCAGAGAGCTAAAATGTAAGAGAAACTGAGCTGTGAAAGAAAAATAATTTAACAATCCAACAAGTACTTTTCACTGGCCCAGATTCTCAAAAGAAACATGAACGCCGAGTAGAACGTGAGTAGATAAATGCGGGGAATCTGTCGTGCACAAATGGTGCAGTTATCGACTAGACAAAAAAAGCGCAAAGGCTGTAACGAGTAGAGTGTGAGCACATGTGGCTGGCTCGGCTGTAATCTGAGCCTTTTCTATACTCAAACAAATTGCTTCTGCTTTTGCACATGTCTGGAAGTTCAAAGAGAACAAAACAAAAGCGAACACCTGGCGGAAACGTGTTTTCACAGCCCACATCCTTTTCAAGAAAAGTTGTGAATTATCCACGCCCAAACATGCCCTTGGATAATAAAACTGATGAAAAAAAACGGAAGAAAAAACAATCAAAGAAAAAAACACTACCTGAAGAGGCAAGACCACCATGAAAACCTTTCTGTCGCGTTCTGTGAGGAAATTCTTGAAAAATGTGTATCCTGTGCCAATGAGGATTATTGTGCCAAAGAGCAGAGCACCTTTCAGCCTTAACAAATAAATCGAAAGTAAAAACAAGCAAGAGTATAAGGAGCAATTGCTGAGACTTACAAGTGAGTTATGTAGTAAACGACTGCCCAGATCTCACTCTGTTGCCCATATTTGCTCACAAAGAAGAAGTTGACACCATGGAAGAACAATGATGCAGCTTTCAGGAGTACCAGTGCCGTCATTAGACCATGCACACGGTAAACATTGGCATGACTATAATTATACCGTACATCTTACAGGCAATCAGGCTGCGTCCATACTTCGCGCCAGCCTTTCGACCGCCTTCAGCGACTAGTAATAGGTGACGATCCAGTGTTTCGAGCTTTCCGCGGGCAGTCGCCGAAAACGCTGGCGCACGCTCAAAACGCCGACACAGAGTGTGAACGAAGCTTCACATAAACACTTACAAAAATGAAAGATTTCACTGATTTGAGTACATCACAAACAAACCTGGACAAGCATAAAAGCCTGCACCATAAAGCGGCAGAAAGAACAAAAGCAAGTGAAACGTAAAGGAAAAGTTGAGGCTTTGGTATGTCTCCAGCAGAAAGGAATGAACCAACATTTTTCTCAACAATCCATACCGTAAAATCAACCGCGACTCGATCACTGCAATATCACTGGTGTTACCTATACGAGTGCCATGTGGACCAAAAGTAGAAAAAACTTCTACAGCATACCTGTACCCATGCGCACGATAATTAAAGCAATTATGGTAGATAAAATGATATTTCCCGCGTAGGTCATACGGAAAACGGATCGATATCTGAAGAAAAGACAGTGGTGCGGTTTGGCTTGTATAAACAAAATTGTAAAATAAAGTCTTAACACTCACATTGGCAGAGTACAACAAATCCCTCTGCACCAAAGGAACAAAGTCTTCATATGGCTTCCCAGAATCTCCACCAGAAAGAATTCGCTTGAACTTGTCCAGCCATCCCTCACCATCACGGCGGGCTCGCACCTGTACAAAGAAGTGCTTTACACTTGTGAAGAGAGGGTTTTTTTGTAGGCAAAGGGGCTATGCAGGGTCTCAAATCTCAAAGAAGCATATCTAGAGAAAAAACAACTAACCGGGGGTACAGGTACAGGTGGATTGTTGTCTAGGTCATCACTCACTGGCTGCACCACCGTTGCGTCCTTAGCACATCTAGAAAAACTTTAAGTACGATTATGTCACATAGCCTGAAAGAATGAAGCCAGGCATACATTCCTGACGAAATTAATGCTATAAATGCAAGCAGATAAAAGAGCATATAAAGAGTACTGAGAGTAAATAAATAGATAAAAGAGAACGCAATCCTTTAAAAGCGTGCAACTACTGCACATCAAAATAAAAAATCAAGCGTACTCGTCGTGAGATGGACACAGGTGGATCTGCTTTCCTGCTCCGGATCGGAACACACGCAAGCGTTTTTGAGGAAGATCTGCGAAGAAGAAAAGGGCATCGAAACCTTGATCAGTCTGCTGAAACAAGAAGCAGTAAAAAATTTTCCATCATTTTTAATGACGAGAGAAAGGTAGGTTGTACACTCAAAATGGGATAGTTACTGACTGATGTAATTTGTTATGATGATGATGACGAATCCGTCTTCCATATCTGCTGCAGACCTCTCTATACAGACTATCGAAGGTTTTTCAGAAGTCATACCTGACTCAACACGAAATCCGGGAATGGGGCTCAGCTTAAACTTCTCGACAGCGCTTTTAGCGACTAGAGCAATACAGATATCGACCGAATATAGGCCAGCATGCAACAGCGCTTTGCGGGTTTTAAAGTGTAGCTTTGAATTTTTGCGGACAATCGCTTAAACGGTGCCGTACGCTCAAAACTCTGACGCCAAGCATGAATACTGCCTCAGGCGTCTTCAAATTTGGTTCCGTAGTCAACATTAATGAAATAACCACACGCCTGCGAATCCATTGTGGTGCAACTTATCTCGCATTTCAAGAAGATTCACGTTCGAAATTCTTTTCGCGTGTGCTCTATTTGAAAAAAAGCATTGCGACTTTGTACAGAAATGTTTGCAGTAGATATGAAGGCAGACTAGGTAATCACTGAAGAAAGACACTTCAGATTCTTATTCCAAACCTCGAACCTACCATCCCTCCCTTAAAAAATGCAAAAAGCATAATTCCGTTGATATTTTCGAAGAGGTGCAAAGGTGGCATCTGTGCTGAAGGATCTATTCCTATTCGCGACAACATAAGCCTTTTTTGTGAAATGGGAATGTGAAATGGCTACCAAAAATGTATCGAGTGGTGTGAACTGTGATCTTGGAACCCCGAAGGAGTTTACTGAGCCTATCCAATGTGAATTCAACAGTCTTCAGGATTTAGGTGTTGCCAACAAAAATTGTTTCTACAAGTTGGCCGGGAAGAAGGAAGGGTTGCAGTCACCCTTCTGGGGCGTGGGTGCGCAGTGGATGAGGAAGATTTAGGAAACAAGACATGCGATAACTTTCCAGGTCAGCCGTGTTGTTGAACGTCTTTCACGTTGCTGAAGATACTAGTCTGTCCAGGAAGGAATGCGTTCATGCTTTGCGGCAGCGTTTCGAGCGACTAGGGAAGTATAGGTACCGATTTTTTTTTCGACCGTCCACCAGCGTGACTGTTCTGAGCGCCACAGCGTTTCGAACGACTGCTAGCATTTTCAGCGTCGACATTTTCAGCGACTAGGAATGTGCAGGCATCGATCCAGCGTTCTGTGGGTCCGCCAGCATTCTGAGCGTCAGCGTTTTGAGCGTACACCAGCGTTGTGAGCGTTTTGAGTGACTAAGAAAGCAATATAGCTAAAAACGCTGACGGATGCTCAAAACGCTAGATTGATACCTCTACTTTGTCCATCGCTAAAAATACTGGCGAACGCTCAGAACGCTGTGAAGGCTTTAAAACTGTGCCGAATCGGTACCTGTAGTTTCCCAGTCGCTCGAAACGCTCAAAACGCTAAAGGACGCTGAGAGCGGTGCCGCAAAGTATGAACGCACACAAGGGGATGCAATGAGAAGGTGGCATACGATTCTGACGTTGACTAACTCATAAAAGAACATGCTACGATGTCTAAGCGACAGGGTGCAGATGCACGGACATGACGTGTTCCAGTTACTCTGGAAGGTAGCTCCTCCCAAGGGTAACAGCGCCCAAGAATAGCTAAATTTTTTGAGTTTTGCAATGAACTTCTGGAACTTCTGTTGCATAAATTTAGATAATAGAAGGATTCGGGGCATCACCATCTTAGTTCCTAGCAACATGAAGAAAGGAGCATTTTGCGTAGCCAGATAAATCGATGACACTTGGTACTTTGTCAGTACTCTTTGTTTCACATGCACTCCGAAGAGAAAAATTGTGAACATTAGTAAAGGTCATGAGTATAAGAATGATTGTATTCGTACCTGCAGCTGGCAAACGTGAGGATTGGATCCAACTCCCGATGCGATAGAATTACCTCGAGACAATGAAAAACCGATCACTCCCTGAAAACTGCATTCAAATTTTGTTCACCGTTTGGTCACTCTCACTGAAGTAGTCATACCGATTTATCAGCATTCTCCCTGGAATCGACTTTTTCAAGAATGGACTCTGGGACGGTGAAATTAATTAGTACGAGATCAAAAGTGCCTCCCTCAGCATAACCGAAGCTTGTTAGAGGAATATTTCTACGGGCATCTCCCTAAAAGCACATATATATTACCAGCATATAAGACATTGAAAAAAAAATCACCTCGTTCACATATAGTTGATGTGAGAAAATATGAAATTATATGAAATATAAAGTTTGACACGTAATATGTAAGAAAAAGCTATAAAAAAAACTGTAGCGACATGGTACTACGGGGTCACAATCGTCTACCTCAATATATTTATATCTTGGATCGTGTCCTGAACGTTGTACGCTGGGTCCCCCGCGAGGAGGGCCGCAGGACGGAAGGGGGTCATATCTGCCTCTGAGAGAAATTGGATTGTTGAATTTATTGCTGAGAAGCTCTGGAAAAACTAGATAAAGTTGTAGGCAGATGGGAAACTTAAGGAGACGGTAAGTATAGGGAAAGGGGCGCACCAGTGGGGCGAGTTTCGGGGGGGGGGGGGTATATTTCATTAGTTTTTCCAACGGCAAGAGGTGCACTGATCCCGGAACATAAGCTATTTTTACGCCAATCTTTTATAGTGGACAACGTTCAAAGTAGGGCAGAATAACCATTGTTTTTTGTATTGGCTTATTTTGATGAAATGGCTTCACAAGAACAAATGTGTATGGAAGTTTGCTGCTCCAAAATACTATAGCGCTACTACTCGAGTAAAACAATCTAACACAAATAAAGAAGTTAGCACTAACCCTTAAAGTGAGATGATGAATCTTCGAGGAGATACATTGAAAACAAAGAGTTAAAAGCAATAATATACGCATAACCCCTCCAGTATTGCGTTTAGGCGAAACTACTCCTGAAAAAATATGAACAACTACTGAAAACACCAGCAACTGGTACTGCAGACATGAGATTACAAACATATGAGTACTGAGAGTACTACTGAAAAATAACGGGAAGGTACCTAAATTGAATCTGGATTCGTTTCCAGTGAAGGAGAATGGTCTGCTACCCGCTAAATGGGGGCACGTTATACTTCTTTTTTTGCAGTAGCGACTACTGCGGAAGGAAAATAGATGCCAATAAAAAAAGGTCTAGTGGCTCAATTATTTCCATCACACGCCTGATGGAGGCGTTAAAATAGGCTCTACATGAGCTTGAAGCAAATCACTGACAAACAGAGTTACTTCAAATCGAACTTGTTGAGGAACTTAACCAAAACAACAATCGCGAAAGTCATAGTAAAGATCCAATTCACGAAAACCACACAGATCAGATTATCGCGGGCACGGAATCTGCTAAGGACCACAATACGCGTCCTTTAAGTGCTGAGCTACACGGCGACTCATCTCACCTCATCGCACAGCGCTGTGAAGCACCAGGACGTTTTCCACCACGTGAAAGTTGTATTGTGTTTTAGCTGTACTCTACTGAACTTTATTGGAGAGTTGGTGGTCCATGAATTATGTTCTGTCTGAGCAATCTTGTTGGAGTTCTGTGTTACGAGTTTTTTTATTTTTTGAAAAGAGCCCCTTGTTAGCGGTGCTTGTATTCTTCTTGTGAGGTCCTTTGTTCCTCCTGTTTTACCCTTCTACTTCTGCTATTTAAGTTGCTTAACGTTTTTTGTTCATATTCACCACGCCCTTTAAATGCTCCATTAAACCCTGGAAGCTTGCACTTTCACTAGCTATTAATGGTCGGTTAATGGATTCAAGCCTATTTGTGCAGACATTCTGTGGGCAACGATAACGTGCCCTTAAAATTATGTAATTAGAGAAAACGAATCAAATTGAAAGATTATCTCCATCACCCTAATGGAAATGACATCATTCGGATGAAGATATTACTAAATTGTTATCTACCTTCAAGTAATGTAATATGAGCCCCCCACATGTTTTCCTCCAGCGATCTAGTGGCTACGGTAGCTCGTCGTGAGTGACCCCGCACATGTCGAGTGCGTGTGTGTGTGCCAAAGGTGTGCACTGACCTTGTATGCCTCCGATTATCGATCGATTCACAGGTTGGTGTACCTCACAGTGCAGATCTGTACAGATGCACTGCACAACCAGTTCTACCGTACTATTTGGAGGACACTCATGATTTTCCTGTTGTTCACCTTCCACTCAACACCTTTTTATCTTACTTACTCCTTTTACACATAACCTTTTCAAGGAAAATTGGTGCCAAATTTAAAAGCACCAGTTACTACTATCAAGAATAAGCGCATTGATTGTGATGATGGAAAGGCTATCAGTTACCCAGCTGAGCGATTATTTTTAGTTCATTTTACGTGGCAGTAAAAGTGTAATGGTCATGCCTTGATGATGCCTTTCTTAACAGGAAGTTCCTCAGAAACCCTTTTTTCTAATTCTGAGTGTCTTGTACAGTTTTTGCTTATGACTCAAGTATTGTTTACTGATCCTTTGGTTTCACTTTGAGCACGTACTACAAGGTACAACAGCATTCCACGCTTCGTCATCATTTTCACACCGCTATCAAGTTACCATTATGCAACTTTTACATCTGTTAGCACTTGTCTGCACTGACAGTTTTTCTTCACGATTATTGATTTTTACCGAGGTAATGTCCGGTTGTACTAGGGTTTATATCCAGTCCTATTAAACAAATGCAAATGCCACTAAGCCGCACCTATGCTTTGCTGATTGAAGAACCGGAGATTAGGAGAATGTGCGCAAAGAACAGTTTGGCTATCGATCTAGGGAATCGGAGAATAGGAGTATGCCCGCCAAAGGACTGCGCGGGAATCGATCGACTCCGCTCCAGGGCACATCATCGTTAGGGATCCCTCAACAGGGGGTCGTATTTGGCGCTAGGAGGGAGTCGTATTTGGTATGGGGAATGCTTTGATAGTTGATTTTCTTGAATCACGGACACCATAAATAGGGAAATAGGGTCATATTGGGTCGCTGTTGGGGAAGGGGGGTCGATTGCCTTTGCGGTGTTTGGAAAAAACTTTCCTTGTGGAGCTCTCGTGGTTTTTCCTGTTTTACATGTGCTGTACACACCCCCGCCCCGACAGCAAAATTCTAGGGAAAGAGTAGGATTTTTTGGAAGTTTCGGAAAAACTGGTAGCAAGTTGGGGAGAATCTAAAAAAGTGTAGGTAATGGCAAGAGGAGGTGGTTAGTATTTATCTAGCGACTCTTCCCGTTTCAGGTGCACAGTATGCCTTCCCCCCTCGACGGCTCAATCAGAGGACCGAACTAGGGGGCGTATCGAGGCACTTTCTGAGGGGGGGGGGTGGGGGAGGTCGTAGGGACGCGACCAGAATCCCCAACTAATGATGTGCCTTGCTCCGCTCCCTGTGAGTCCACTAGCGCGCAGTCCCCCCCCCCCGTTTCGCACATTCTCGCAGTGTCCCCGTTTCGCACATTCCTCTATTCTCCCACTCTCCGAATCGATACTCATTTCTTCTCTGCACGTTTTTTTTTTCCAATTCGCACCCATTTCTCCAGAGTCGCAAAGTATGACGCGACTATGTTTTCAGAACAGATTCATCTGAATGAATTCCGCGAAATGTATGCATAATGCCAGGGCTTCCTGACTATTTGAACGAACTCGAAATAAACGAATTGGGACTCGTTAGAAAAAAAAACGGGGATCCAAGCTGGCACAGATATTTGATGCACGTGAACCAGTTCAACTTGCCCATTGCTAGCTTGCTTTAACATGCTCCGGACCACGTGACACACACGAGGTGTCATACATTTTTCTCTTTGCGGCATTTGATTATTTTATTTGGCATTTCTTCCACGTTCGAAAGTTATTAGAATACGCTGTCGGGCAGAATATATACACCTCATTCGGAAATAAAAATAAACGAAATTGCCGATTTCGGTGTGAAAAATGATAAAAATAGGCGGGGATTCCCACATAACGGCAGTCCGCAATGTGTTGAATGTTAAGGTATTTAGCGTGTATCCCTCTTTTCTTTTTATCTTTACAATAGTTTATAACTTATACTGCTTTCATATTTGTCCAGTCCCTTTCGTTTTGTATGCGCCCGTTTTGTTGATCAATGTGCCCGTAATCGGCTTCTGCTATCACCATCAAATGGCGTTTTTTCTTACGTTTTCTATCCCATCTGGCTTTGCCTTTATCAATTAATAGCGTATTTTCCTATTTCTAAGCTCTCAAGCTGTAACTTCAGTGTAGGACTGTTCTGAATATAATGGGTTGGCTCATAACTAATGCCGTTTTTCTTACGCAAGTTTTTAGGTGGAAAGTGTGAATTGTTTCTAATGTGTTCTATACTGTTTGGTAGATAACTTACTGCTCTACTATAGAGTATGATTGCTTTCCTACTATTTCTAGATTTTTGTCGATTTTTTACTTCATTGATATGGAATGTCAGGCCGATGCCCTTGTGAGTTTTTCGCGACTTTTTGCACTTAATGGCCTCACAAATTGCAGAAAAACCTCAAAAACAAGTCATCTATATTAAAAGACACGATGCTTCCTAGGACGGCTTGAAACTGGTTGGGGCGATTCAGTGAGGGGAATTCGGACCTTGTAAATGTGCATCGTATTGGGCGCCCTCTTGGAGAACGAATGCCTGCAGAATCCAGTCCCCAAGTTTTGAACTTTTTCCATCAAGTGAAAATGATGCTCAGGGAGGCCGTGGAAACCTTCCACGACATCTGTTATTTCCCCATTCTTTGGCATGAATCTTCGTGAGTAAGGTTATTCAGTACGCTCTCAGCTAGCTTCAATAGGACGTTAGGTTCGATGCCTGCCTATGAGGTCGAAATTGGAATCATTTAATCGCCTAGACCGTTATAAAAATTTCTAAGATACATAGCTTTTTGGTCACAAATTTAGGAAACAGTCCTGTGCGGTTTTATCTTTTTATTAGATGTAAAAAAGAGGCTTCAGAAAAGGCTCAGTTTTGTCGATCTGACACATCAGTTTGAACACTAAAAAATTAAAGGAAACAGAGCTTAACACGTTCCGGACCGCATGACACACATGGTGCGTCACGAATTCCTCTATGCTGTGTTTTATTTGACTGTTTTGACTTTCATGTTCTATTGTTGTAAAAACACGTTTTCGGTTACCGATATGTCCTCCCTCATGAGCGATTGAAAAGAGGGAGGAAATTACTGAGCAACCATTGATGAAAAATGATGAAATGATTAGGACATGCGCGTAGTACGGCGGTCCGCAGTGTGTTAAAAAGCTAAAAAGACTACCTGACAGGGCTGGCAGTTCTCTGCGAAACAGTATGAAACTCAGTAGCAAGACTTTTCATCTTAGGCGCTAAATTTCGAGTGAGAAAAAAAACAGTCATTACTTATAGACCAACTCTATATGTTTTATCTTCTGAAATTATCGATTGAATTTACATTTCCAAGCGCTTTGTTGCATGCACATGCAAGCGTACGTATGAATGGTTCTTAATTACGCGAGTTCCGTCTATTTTCCGCGTTTCACCCCCCGTCGTCGGTCCGCTGGCGATCTGAACATTTTTCGGCGCCGTCCGTCATCCTTATCGTCTTCGCCCTTCTTATCGTGCTATTGAGTGTAGGTGTTTTGTGGTTCAGCATTGAGGATGGCTGGCGGTCATTCATACATGGAACGGCGGTATGAATCATCGCATTTTTTTTATATAAAACGTGAAATTTCCTGTACATGCTGTGTTATGACGTCATTCTTTTACTTGAAGACGTACTGTATTTATTACCCACCGAAATGTATCATTGGGATAGTATTTTGCCTACGTTTACTTGACGTCATCGTTTTCCAATGAGACGTGCTTGAGATGTGGCTCCTTTTTATTACCCCACCTGTCTCATTCGCTATTGACGTAGTTTGGCTGAAAAAATGATCTGTAATGAATGATCCGGCTTAATTGTATAGTTTTACTCGCACGTTTTTGTGTTTAAGTTTCTTTTTTTGCAGCGAAGCTGTTCGGGACTAGTTTCCTATGATTCCTGAGCAATAGGCGCTGCTTGCAAGTACGTTGATTTTTGAGGACTTTTTTGGTATTAGTGCGTAGTTGAGCGTGGCCATGGGACTGCTCGTCTATGTCCCTTCTTAGGCCGCGTTTATACTTTACGGCTGAGGAGACTCTTCAGTTGAGGAGATTGAGTGATTCGACGGTTCGAGAGACTCGGCGATTTAGCCCGATCGACACCCTTCCACTCCTTTGGTGCGCAATCGCACACCGAGTCTCCCAAATCACCAGATCGCTCAGAGTCGTTCTAGAAAAGTAAAACCCAATACCTTCACTCTCGCCAACTTTCTGTTTTTCTCTGCGCTCACACGTCTAAATAACATTCTTTGCCACTGAGACCTTACAAGTCCCAACCCTTTGACACCGCGGGGTCCCCCTCCTTTGAAAAAGCTCCCCGCCCCTAACTCCCAGTGCGGTGTCTTTTTGCACCTTTCAGTGCCTTTGTTGTCGCAGTCCTTTATTTCTTTGCGCTCTGGCCTTCCCGCCAGGACCCCCAAGAAAGTTAGGATTGTCGCGTAACACTCAAGTCAAACCCCGCAATCGCCCCATTACCTGCACGTTCCCCGTCGCTGAATCTCTCAAATTGCAGTGTGTCCCAAATCGCCGAATTTCTTGAGTAGGTATGAACGAGCCTTATAGCCTAGGCCCAACCTTAGCAGAGTACGGACGACTAGAGTCGGCGCGGCGCGGTCTCGCAGAGCAGGCATAGTCACGCCAGTATAAGGCCATGCGAACTGCTAACTTTTTTAAGGCCTCTTAATTTTACTTTTTTTATCTTTCTTATCGTTTAGAATCTCCATTTTTTCATTATGTAGAAGTAGTTCCATTAAGGCTTGTATACTGGTTGTGGTGACTTGCCGTTGTCAAAAATGCCATCATTTTTCTGCATTCCACTAGCATGTAATCGACAAATAGACTCGCTCGATCGTCGGCAAAACAACCTTCAGGTTTGGTTTTCTTCTTGTGACAGCCATTTTCAGAACTTATTCTCCTCATATGCTGATCCCCTGAAATAAAAAAAACCATTTCAGGCTGTACCTCATGATATTGATCGTTATCGCGGTCTCGAAGAGCTGCTATTGGCGATGAATCATATCAAGGAGTTGCCAAAGGTGCTGTGGATTTATTTGTTTTCATAGTTATTGATTTGTACCATTTTTTGAAGCATACCCTTTGGACAGAGATCAGTACGTGAAAAATCAAATCGGATTCATTTTGGAATTCTGTTTTTAGACTCTTTTTCGGCTCACAAAGCTCCGTCTGCTGGATTTGAGCGATAATGATATTTTCTGCGTTCCCCCTGAAATCGCTTCATTATCCAACCTCGTAGAGCTGAATCTTAGTAGAAATGGCAAGTGAATTACGGTTGTTTTGCTCCTGAGTAAATATGATTTCTGAACGAGTAAATCTTTTACAGATATTTCCGATTTACCTGAACAATTAAAGGAATGTAAAATGCTCATGATTTTGGATTTGAGTTCAAATCCAATCACGAGGTGAGCTAAAGATATTTCATACGTGTTCTCTTGACTGTTTAGGCGACTGTTCCAAATGTTTTTGGAAATTTCAGATTGCCGGAAACAATAGCCCATTGTGTTTCACTGACTCATCTTGGTTTGAATGACGTGTCGTTAACTCAGCTTCCAGCTGATATAGGGCAGTTGGTCAATCTTCGATCATTAGAAGCTCGCGATAATCTTATCCGATCACTGCCGACAAGTATTACACAGTTGAAAAATCTACAAGTAGTGGACCTTGGTCAGAATGAACTCGATCAGCTGGTGAGTCATCAGGGTAATGATGTGATATGACGTGGTAGAGAAATCGTTTCTCAGAGAAAGACTACTTTTAGTCATTGTTCGATAGTTGTTGGAATCTGGGGTGCAGGTGGAACTTGGGATGGGGGTATCCAAGCATCTAGGCCAGCACTTCTCCGTGGCTGCTTGTATAGCACTGGATTTCATTGGCACTGACGGTTTTAACTACAAAACAGAACATTCTTCGTAATTAACCGTTTATCGATCAGCTAGAAAAAAAGCATGAATGTCAATAAGCCAAGCACAACATGAAATGCACTAGAGTCTAAAACAGCTGGCTCTCATCATGACCAAGCAAGGAGGGTACTGCCCAAAGATACGGTGGTACATCTGCCGGTAGTACGGTAGTGTGTAGTAGGTCGCCCTTTCTATGTCACTCGGGAGATGCCCAGTTGGGCCAGATCATTGGGATATGTCAAATAGCGACGTCAATGTGACCCCACAAAGCAGGGATTTGCACGACCCCATCCGCTACGATCAATTACGACCCCTGATGCCCCACACGATGACTATCCAGGCTGTGCCCTTCCTTTGAAACCGAAAAAGGACGACCAATGCGTAAGCCAGTCCTAGGCCAAAGCGCCTCTGTATTCTTATCGTACGAAATTTTACATTTCCATTGTCTACGCTGAGAATGACCACCTTCCGCCGAACGATGAGAGTGAACATTGCGGCATTTCTCTTTAGCTAGGAGGAAGAAACTGTACCGCGGCAACTCCTTTACCAAGTCGATTATGGCAGCACTGGGAGACTCTTTTCTTGATTCCGAGAAAGGCCAACCTACTCGCCGTCCGCGAGTTCGGTGCCTCTTAGTGACTAGTCATAATCAGGAAGCAAATCGACAGGAAATGGGCGGGGGGGGGTACCCAAAGGAAACTCGTTGTGAATGAGTTGAAAATAAAGCAAGTGAGAAACAGTGAGAGGGGGTGAAGGGAGAGGGGAGCAATGACAAGAGAGCCTTATAGACCTAACAGTACACTCTGAGATATCGCCAGGTACTCCTAGGACCTACCCTCAGGTATCCCAGGTGCTTAGCTTATATCATGTGCATTTGGGCTCTTTGTTCGCCGTAATAAAGCAGGTAGAGAACCGAGTTGGTAGAAAATCAAGTCAAGTCTCATTCAGAGCAAAAAATAAACAAATTGAATAGGAAAAAAGCAAGCCGGAAATCATTGCAGCTCCAGGCATAAACCGTTTGCCCACTTAGCAGCAGAAACAGAGGTATACCATGAATAGAGCCTAGCAGTTGCAAGAAAGAAGAAACGTAGCATCGTTTCTACCTAACTGTTAGAATTATTTTTGCTCACACGTTATTCAAACTTAGGAGCAAAGGGGGGGGGTCTGCTGTAGACGGGCGGTTTTTGTGCGCGTCATGGTGGAAGAGCTGCGAGAGGATGCTCGTTCATACCCCACCCAGCCCTGTCACCAATGACACTGGCGACAACCTCCCGCCTCAACCATCGTGTCCAGTGTTTTCCTACAGAATGCTTGGGCTTGTGCTTTAGATTGCTATTCATACCAGTTTTAGTACTTTTATGCACATTTAAGCAGCATTTTTGTTGTCCTTGTGAGCGTAGAGATAGTTTGCTCCATGCTCATATCCACAGATAAATCATAAAATGTCACAATTTAATGCTGTTACTGGTTTACCTGTAAAGAAGTCTGCTTTTGGAACAATATTTCATTTTGCACGTGCTCATTATCTCCTTTTTGGAGAAAGTTTTAATTGCTGATTTGAAGGAGATTTCTCTTGTCTTTTTCCAAGGAGTGTTTTTCTGTTCCTATTTCTAACCCGATCTTTTTAGCCAGCTGAAATGGGTTGTTTGGAATCATTGCGAGAGTTATACATTGATTCGAATGATTTGGAAACCCTCCCTGAGCAAATCACGAAGTGTCGGCTTTTGGAACAGCTGGGTGTGTTTTCAATCCTCAAATCGCTTCCAGTTTAAACTCCAGTTTTTTTTTTCTTGACGCTTCTCTTTTCTCATAATGCGTTCGATTGCAATTGTTTAGACGCAAGTGAGAATCGACTCTGCACTTTGCCTGAAGAATTTGGGGACCTATCAGAGTTGACTGACGTCAATCTTTCGGACAACGAATTGCAAACGATTCCAAATTCAATAGGTAAATCATCTTTGTTGGAAAATATACTGCTGTCAGTGTTTTCTGACTTCTGTTTTATACTCCTTGTTATAGGACGTTTGAAGAAGCTCACTATATTGAAGCTTGACAAAAATCACATTCATCAATTGACGCAATCAATTGGGAGCTGTGATCAGTTAACGGAGCTTTTTCTAACCCATAATTTATTGCAGGTGAGAAAAGTTTAAATCATGTTGAACTAGCCTAGCTGATATTGAGCGCTAGTCCACGGGGCAATAATTTGCCGCGGACATTTTGTAAACTTGTGCAGAGCTGCGAAATGACTGGTTTAACTTGAATGTCGGCATTATACTGCGCAGTTGATTTCAATAGAACATTTCCTGTTATGTCAAGGTAATCTGCGATCGGCTAGGAAGGATGTGAAGCTGTCCATTGGGCTTTGATGCTATTCTTGGCTAATCGTTAGATATGGGGAATCGCGTAGCGACTGGGAAGGCGACCTAGGAAATGTGGGGAACGCTGCGTGGAAAGGCCCTGGGCCACTTAAACTAAAATGCGAAATAGTTCATGCTTTGACATGGCTAACCTACTGTAGAATTGAGGCTTAAAGGTTTTACAAGAGTTTGCAGGGTTTTACGGAAAGGTCCGGTACTTCCAAACAAGGTCACGAAATCTCCACCCTTCATCTTGCGGACTGATCTGCTATTGCTTTCTGCTTTTATGTGAAGTTTCTTTGTTGAACTATGATAGAGCAAAGTCGGCATTTAGGAGCTGCCATCGTCGATTGGAAATTTACGTAATTTGAAGAATTTGAACGTAGATCAAAACAAACTCACTGCTCTACCAACAACGGTACGTTCGCTCCTCTCGCTGTCAAGTGTGAACTGGTAAAGTAGTAGATGGGCGGAGAGCATTCGATTTGTCTTTTCTTTCAGATAGGTGGTTGCACATCGCTGACGGTGTTATCATTAAGAGAGAATGAAATTACCGAAATTCCCATGGATATCGGGAAATGTGAAAGGTTAACGGTACTTGATTTGTGCAATAATCGGCTAAGCCATCTGCCATTCACTATCAATGTTCTGTTCAAACTTCAAGCGCTTTGGTTGAGTGAAAACCAAGTGAGTTACTGGCCTTTTTGGGAGTTGGTCAAGACAATCGTAATTTGGTGTTCCATCGCGCTCGGCGACAGGCGCGGCGTTTCTTTATTTGTGTTAGCCTGGAGAATGAGCAGCAGATTTCGATTTTGAATTACGACTGTCCTGTATCATTCCTCGACTTTTTTTCTGTTTTACTGGACTTTATGATGCTGTAATTTCAGTCACAAGCAATGTTGAAACTACAAGTTGAACGTGATCCTCGTACTGGTGTAAAAGTGCTTTCATGCTACTTGTTGCCACAGCTTAGTGCTCATCCTCAGAATGGTTTGTTCAGTACTTCTTCTTTGATACAGCTGTTAAGTATTTACTTTTTCTCAAAAAGTGTTCGGTGTAATTTATGCTGCTGAAGTGTCAGACGTGACGTGTTCTAATGATCCGCCTTGTTTTTTCATATCCCAGTGGTGGCAGCGCTGCCTCGCATAAGCCTAGTTTTCCAAAGAACTTCCTTTCCTCGCAACGTCCAAATTCTAGCCCTGATATGGCGCCCTCAAGGGATATAGCAGTTTGATTGACTCGGCCCCGCTGAAGAGAAAAGGCGATAACTCCAAGGGCGCCGAAAAATGGCGGAAATATTGCAGATATCTGAATATTGCACAATCAAATAAGTGTATAACTTTCAAGAGCATTTTTTTCCAGTCCATAGCGGTGATTTTTAGATCGTTCTGGTCAAAATCGAGCGTTTGTGGGCGGTCCCAAAGTGCACTTCCCCGATCAAGATGCCACGGTGGATGATGAGAAGGTAGAGTTTAACTTGTTCATCGGGAGTAACGAAAGTGTTTGGCTTTTTTATAATGCCAAAGATTTTAGCTGCCAATTGGACAGTTTGAACGTCATGACACACCTCATCCGAAACCGCAAAAGCTGAAGAAGAGCAGCATAGATGGGCATGTTATTCACCATGATGGGCAGACTCCGGTATGTTATTTGATTTATTTTGCTACTATCAGAATAGAAGCCAAATAAGTAAATTTTTGATAAGTGAAAAAACGAATTTCGATTTTGATAGATCTTGAGATTTTGATAGAGACCATAAATTCCTGTTTGTAGAATCAGCCGGTGACCTTAGCATTAAGCAAGAAACCTGGAAGTAGCATCGATACCTCGCCAACCAGTGCTCCACAACCGGCTCCACGTTCTGCACTGAAGTTCCAAAGTGTTCCACCCACGGAGTAAGTAATTTGCAATTTTAATTCACTATATTGAATGCGATATCAGGGCACGTCCTGCCGCTGGGGAAAACTCTCGAGAAATACAAGCTCCCAATTCCTTCTCCTGCCACGACCCGCCTTCCCTCTTCTCCATCCGCTCCAACTTCTCCCGGGATCCTTTCACATTCCCCGAAATCTCCCAAAAACTTCCCACTTTTATCCCCAGATTTTTTTCGTCGGGGGACGTGCCCTGTGTGATACAGCTACTAGGTGAGTATTCAAACAATTTAGGTTATTATGAAGGGATTTACTTGCAGTATGTCAAAATATTTAGGTACGAACCAGAACACAACGCTTCTGCCGTTCCTGTTCATGAGACGCAGGTAGTGGACCGCGGGCAGGTCAGTATTTTCTACTCATTATATGTTTACTTGTATTGATGATACTTTAAACAGTGGAGTTCCACTTTTTTCTGCCTTACTCTTTTTGCAGTATGTTGCATTGAATAGTGTGTCAACTGGCTTATTGCTCTTTTTGAATTTCAATACTGCTTGATGAATCATATTTTGCTGTGGAAGAAAAATCACAGTTTTGGACCGTTCTTGACGTTAATAATTGATTATGGAGATCTGGTGCAGTTACTCGATCGATTACTCGAAAGTAGGCAGAATTCCATGAACGTGTTTTGCGTGCCTTTCAGATGAATGTGCAACTTGAGGAATACGAGAAGGGCACTCAGAATTTCTACGTTCAGGATATAAATGTGTTTGAATTTCTCGTACAGTCTTGTTCGCTGTGGATGAAGGGGGTGTCAGACGTGACGGGTTTGGCGTGAATCCAAGCTTGTTCTCCAATAGTTTTGAAGCGCGTAAACGACAAAAGTTGGTTTAAAGGCAGTTGGCACGATGGTTTCCTACTTGGCCTAAAATGCTAGTAGGGCGCTGTATAATGCGGAAATGGCGAAAGAACGGAGTGAAACGGTCAAAATCCGGCGAATATAGAAGCCCTGGCGTGTGGCACCAGGGGCGCGACTTTGTCCCAATAATCAGTTTCGATAGACGAGTTTTCCCGTCCCCGGCCGGACCGGTTATCTTACAATTCACGCTAGCCGATCCGGTGGATGCATTATGGTTACCCGTATTATGATGCAGCATTCAACAAGCCGCTTTCGCATACCACATCCCTGGGCTTCTAGTAATGTGCCTCAGCAAGGATGAATGGCGAATACGAGAAGTGCGAGAAACTGTACCTGTTTGGGCGGCGCGCAAGTGATCTCGCTGTTTGGCACGTAAGTTGTGTTGCTTTCAATAGGGCGCGTTGACAGAGTGGACCCGTGCTTGGAAAAGGTCTACATACGCAGCGCCTCGCCGTGCGACATAGGGTTCACGCGGAATTTCGTGATAGCCTAGTATGCATACAAAATCCTACACCTGTTATAAACGTATTTATTCGCCTGCCTAAACCTTGCCGCTTTTGGAGACCTGACTTAGTACGATCGATGGGTACTCCGTCTTGGCTTGTTGCCTCGCTGTCAACGACTGATGGGAAAGGGTTTTTGATGCCGCTGCCAAATAGCTATCCACTTGACAGGCCCCTTCATCCGCGAAGAAGAATGTTTTGATGGCGTATTTATGTGGCTACGAATGATCATTGTGCTAACGCGTGCGTGTGCTCATCTAGTGGAGAGAGTGTGAGTGCACACAGGAACGTCTGCTTTCGCTAGCCGCAGGCGTTCCGGCTAAGGCCACGGCAGATCAAGTTAGCGTGTCTTTAAACGTATCAACACGCGCTCATTTCAAAGGAAGTGCGCGCGATTCGCGTGATGACCGCCCCCTCCTGAAAGAGTGGTTTACTGGCCGGAAAAGACCGTCTGGACGTTTATTTGTTGCTAGCATGCGTATACCACCGGATGGCTTCAGTTATTCAGGAATTTCTTGAATGATATTTTGAGGAGCGACTTCTCATTAGAGAAGAAAAGAATGCCGAGTGTGATTGCCCGCTCGATTTCGTATATTGATCTGTGGTAAAACCTAGCTTGGATGACCTCGTCACACCGCCTTGCCTGTTCGGTAAGTATGCTAAGCCAGTTTTTAGTTATGCGGTATATTTGCTATCGAATAGTTTCACGACTTTCGGTCTTACCATGGCGTGCAGATGGAAGTGGAGTTGCCGTGTATGGATTTTACGTTACTCAGAATCCTTTCAATACATTCGTATAAGGATTTGTCGGCTGTATTTAGTGGAAGGGAGGTTTTCAAATATGATCTGTGTTAACGGCGCGTTGCAAGTGTTCGGCCGACGACGCTCTTCGCTTTCACGCTGAGTACGCGCGACAGATGCGCGGTAACGCCTCACGACGGCTGCTATAATTAGCACAACGGTGCTCCAGGCGCCTATAGATACTGAACGCAGCTCGCCAGATGGTTTAATGGCCTGATCAATACCAGTCTGCGTGACGTAGGAGGCCGGCGCCTATTCTTCGAGCGGTTTGCAGCGCGCGAAAAATCGATCTGGCGCGGCCGTCTGCCGGATGCGGCTGTGGCTTCATGTGCGTTGCGGACTTGTTGTAGGCATTGCGTCATGCACGTTACAGCGCACTAAAAGCGCGTCGACTGCGTGTCATCCGCAACTCTGAACGCTGCCCATAAGCTTGTCGTCACTATGTGCCTAATCAAAGGTGGATTCGTAATGAACACTGAAAAAGCATGACTTATCGTGCTATTTTGATTTTCACTATGAAAGTGATAACATAGTCTTCTCTTCTCACCCCTGCGCTTCCTGGTCGCATGAGCCTAGTTTAGAAGGCGAATCGCTGGATATTCAGTGAATTATCTTATCTCGCGCATAACCAATATCTGTGAAATGATTCATGGTAGATAGCAGCTTTGATCTGTTCAATCACTATAATTTTCCAGAATGTCTGTCTGGAACCATGTGTATTAGAAAGACCAACGCGTGCGCCGCCTACGTCCATAGCGTTGCGCCTAAGGGAGGACGGTAAGTTTCCGCATGAGAATTGCGATCACAACCTGATGCGATTATCGGTCCATCTGGGGACCTGTGGATTGCTGGCGGCGACTTGAGAGGAAGTCAGCTTACACCATTACAATCCTGCAGGTGACGGTTGCCTCTATTCGTTTCTCGAGTGACACCTGACGGACCGGTTGTCTCGGCCAGGGCTCTCGAGCGTCTAACGACAAGCTAGATGATAAGATTATATGAGAATATATAGATGTTTTATTTTTATTCTAACACATCCGACCGCATAGATCGAGTCATGCCTTCGTCTTCTCTTTTGGTTTTCCGCTGTTTTACATTGCACCTTCTCTTAAATCGGTTCCCAGAAGTGTTCATATGGTCAAGCCGCCAAACGACAACGCCTCTGTATTTCTTCCCCTATCCAAGGCTTAGAGTGCATGCGACTAGAGTCGCCGCGAGTTTCAGTGTTTTTTTTTGTCTTCTCTGCGCTCTTCTGCACGGCCACCATGCACTGTTTACCCACAATCCATTTTCCACGTACGCGGAGTGGTTTACCCACCCCATTCCCACCTGCCTCGTCACATCTTCTTTCGCAACATCCAGTGCTTTGACAGTCGTCGACCCAATCTTTTTGCACTGTGCGCAACCCTGGTCATCAACGCTTTAAGCCTAAGCCTTGATCAGGGGAAGAGACGCTGAGCTGATTGCGACGACCCGCAGCCTGGATCGCGTACGTGACATACATGCGCAGTCATATTCGGCATTTCGCATGATTTATTTGACAATACTCCCATGTTTTTGAAGTGTCGGGAATTAATTAATGAGACTTGATTCTTACTCATCGTTGAAATATTTTAAGAGTCAACGATGTTGATGTTCTGTGCGCTTCTCACGATGAAGCTGTCCGTGCTATGAATGAACCGGGGGACGTTGTTGAGCTTACAGTATTGAGGAAAGAAAATCTCAACAGCTCCTTCTTGGTGTGTTCATTTCTTTTTTCTTCCTAGTGCGTTTTCATTCTCATAGTAGTCCCTTCCGTTAGTCTAAATTTTTTTTCATAGAAGTCGGCGGATCAATCTTTGGATATCTCCTTCATGACTGATCCAGGAGAATTGCCGATGAATAATCGTGAAACTCTCAGTGTGACACTGAAGCGGTTCGTTCATTTTCAGCGATATTGTATCCCTTTGTGCCCCACATGTTAGTGCCACGCTTTTCCAGTGATTCAATGGGATCTCCTGGCTTTGCTATAGCTTCGTCGCATGGTGGGCTTTCGGATGGTTTGTTCATCAGCTACATTACACCTAACGGCCCGGCAGCATCTCAGGGAAAACTTTCGGTGAAGTACACTCTGTTGTTCACTTGAAATATTTTATAGTGTAGTTCGCTGTGGATGGTTGGGCGTGTCAGGCAGGATGAGTTTGGCGCGGTGTCAAACCCGTTCTCCACCAGTGCTCAAAGCGAGCAAGTGATATGACTTGCTGGGGTGGAGAACGGGTATCATATTGTTATTACTCGTTTCCTACCCCTTTTCTACCCCGTTGTCCACCAGTTGTTAAAGCAAGCAAGTGATATGGCAGTATCATATCGTTCGTATTACTCGTTTTCAACCGCTCTCTGTCGCTTGCGCGCTTCAACAAGAAGTCAGGAAACGGCTTTGATGGCGTGGCACACTCATACTTTCTGACACTCCCAAACGTCCGCAGCGAACTAAGTTTGAAATTCGTTCGTGCAGCAATGTGTCCGTGCAACAACCTAGTTAGCGTTTGTCCGCTTGGCAGGGAGGGGGGGGGTGCTTTTCTGTTGGGCCACGTGGACTGTCAAGCTGCGAAATGGTGCCAATTTCACTTGGTATAGCGTGGTTACTTGGCGCGGTTCATTGTAAAAAGGACATTTATGTGGGGCCAATGTAGTCCAGCCCCAGTATCTAGATCGGCAGGAACCCATAGTATTTGAAAGCAAGCAAGTCAGCCTGGAAGGTCGTGGCCCGTAGAGAACATACTCATTATTTGCTCACATTCAAGGCGGGGTAGATAGCGCGCACGTAGAACGAAAAAATCCCCCAAAACTCAGCAACCACAGCTGAGAACATTTTCCCTTATGACGATCTACAATTTTCCTCTACCAGTTTTTCTCTACACTCCACTCCCTACCCTCCAGCAATCAGTATCCTCGCTGGGCATCCCCAACGTAGACGGGGCATCCCCAAAGTGCGACGTGCGCTCATAGTTTCTGGGAAACATCCACCGAACGCTATCCAGCGTACAATAAACTCGAAGAAATCGTATAGAAAACTCGCAACAGAATGTCCCATCTGCAATCAATCGCGCCAACTCATGTTGCATACAATATGGAACTGCTGTTTTTCAACTGGTATCACTTTTAACTGTGTCAGTATCCCCCCCCCCCTTCCTTCCCTTGATAATCGGACTTGTGACGCAAGTCCACCTAGCAAGGGAAGGGGGCATAATGATACCAGTTAAAAGTGAATGTGAGTAAGCGCTGTAGTTTTCTGGCAGAAAAATGAAACCTGTCTCAGTCATCGTAAAATTCGTGTTGAAGGTCGGAGATCGATTGGTGTCGATAAACGGAACTCGGCTGAAAGGAGTACGTCATGACCAAGCGGTTGCGTTACTAACTGGTAACCCGTATGAAGATATTTACATCACTGTAGTGGTGAGGCGACTCGACTTGTTTTTCTTTTTGTATTGAAGGGTCAGTCAGTCGTTATAGCGGGACCTTGTTCCACGTATATCACCGCTTCCTCTGCCCTCAACTCCTCTAATCACCTCGTCTCCAACCACTCAATCGCCTCAACCGGAAAATGTAGGTGTTTCTTTTTTATTTTGTTTCATGTAAGGTTTTAGTCGTGATTTTAATAGTCTTTTGGTTCATGTTCCATGCGCGATGCTGTTATGTTCTTGCTGGTGATATATGAAGTAAATTTCAGCCAAGTGTAATACCGATTACCAAGCCACCTACAACTCCGATACCGTATAACCCTGTGGCAGATACCTCATCATGGGATGGTACTACTGAAGAGGTAGGGTGTACAGTCACTGATAGGCTATCAATGATCTATCCTTAGTCTGAAATGGTTGACATTTGATGACCAAAGATATCCAAGTGACTATCATTCAATTTGACCCACTGGCGACTAGCTATTGATCAGATGGTAACCTGTATTGCAACTTAAAACGCACCGTCCAATTTATCAGGCGTTTAAGGTTATCCTGATGAAAGACGGCAAGTCGCTAGGATTGTCCATCGTTGGTGGTTGCGATCACTCGAGTCATCCTTTTGGTGTCGATCGCCCAGGAGTATTCATCAGCAAAATCGCACCAAATTCGCCTGCTGCAAGGTTTGGTTTTCAAGCTTTATTCTAGCACTTTTTTTATTATTACAAGAATGCTGAGATACAGGCAAAAGTCGGAAACAAGACGACTCGAGCTTGCATCTTCCGCTTACCGGGTGGTTGCGTTACGCTGCCAGGGCCACTCTTTCCCTCTCTGCTCAATGGGTTTTATGCAAAAGCCTTAGCGGCCTCGGTAACGTAATGATAGGAGATGCGGGCTGGACCCCCGTCTGGGTTCTGATTTTTGCACATATCTCAGCATTCTGATAACTTTAGGAGCGCTTACTGTTGTGTCAAACAACTATGATACTAAGAACTATGAAGCTTTCTCTGTTGTGATTCCTTTTTGTTCAGATGCCAACGCCTTCGGATTGGTGACAGAATTCTTGAAGTGAACGATAGAGATATCAGAAAAGCGCAACATATTGAGGCTGTAGAGGTGGGTATACGAATGTATACTGGAGAAATTTTGACGAAAAGGGACTCAGTTTCCAGGCACTGAAACAAAGTGGACCCCGAGTGGTATTGTTAGTGACACATGAACCGCAACCTCCTGGTATGCGAATAATAGAAGTAACTCGCAAAGATGGTCAATCGTTAGGTATCTCAATTCATGGCGGTGTCGGAAAGCCAGCTGCCAACCCTTCTGATGAGCGAGACGAGGGAATATTTGTTGAAAAGGTGAGGACTAAGTGGTTTTTCTATTTCTACCTGAGTTTGTCTTTTTTTTATCCCCCTTACTCTTATTGATCTCTACATTTGTATAATACACTCGAACGTTTAATGTTACTCGAAAATGCTCTGAAATGGATCTGCAGAGCTATGGCAGCTAAATGTTCCTTATGTCCTCTCCAGCCATTCAATACACAATAAGAAAACCGCAGACACGCAATACGACACACAGCCAGGCGTACGCTGAACACTAGCCACGCCCGTCACTTGTGTGCGCCCGGGCACGTTCAAACAGGAAGCTGCTTTTTTCTACAGCTCTCGTTCGGCAGCGTACGAGCGCATTTTCCCGGGAGCCCAGGCTCCCAAGCTGATGTGTTGAAACATACCCGTAATATGTTAGGTACGCATCGCGTACCAACCAGCGGGTGGAGGCACAAAGAAACATTGCAGGCCTCCAGCTTCATTTTGCCACATTTACGCTCCATATCCCGAACACTGGAGCAGGTGGCTGCTTATTCCATTCTAACATAGCGCAGGATGCGTTTTTAAGATGAAACTTTTATTTGAAACAACTGTCGTACTGTCTGCAGCGGGTCAAAGGTATGACCACAATTGTCTCAAAACGAAAAGATTCCAGTAGAGCCCCAGCTGCTGGAAGGGTCCATCGAACAGGGAGTAGCTATGCCCACTTCATCGCCGGGATATGCGGTGTACGTAGGGTCAAGGTGGTTCACTTCTGTGGCAGCGGACCTGCCTATTTCGCACACGGAAGAGAGACGGGCAAGAGAATCGTAAATTGCCGCTTCATCGCGCGCGGCAATGGGCGCGACGTTTCCCTAATTTATAATTTCCTACCCTTTCAACTGGAACATCGGATTGCACGTAGATAAGATTATGGCAGACAATTATCTCTATTTTCGGTCACCATCGTCTGTTCTCGACCAATAACCCCCAAAGTTGTCGTCATTGGCGGGCGCGACGTCGCACGCGGCCATTGGCGCGGCGACTTGCGATCTCTTGCCATACGGCGCATGGAATGGGTTCTCACAATAGTCTATGGGCAATTTGTACAGTGTTTCTTTGTCTTCGTTCCCTACTTAGTAATACATCAGTTTGAGTTCAGGTGGAACCGTCGAGTGTGTGTCATCGTGCCGGTATGCAGGTTGGACATAGGCTGATCGAGGTGAACGGAGACTCGTTGCTGGGCTGTGATCAGTCTGAAGCAGCGGCGTTACTGCGAGCCTCGAATGAGCTCCGAATTCTTGTTTGTGACGGATATAATGTGCCGCATGCTCCGCGGATCGAAGATAGAAGCTTGACGTCAACGGTAAGTGTTTTCAAGCGAGGTGTTCAAACTTCCATCATATTCTGATTCCTTCTATGACGTCGGCTTTCAAAGAGCTTTGGTTGCATATTGTTTACGAAGTAAGTGTGCATATTGGTAGCAAAGAGCCCCGATCGATACCCATGTTTTCTTCTATGTCGGGCTATGTGCATGTTGAATGAAGTCAGGTATCTGTACTGTTACATGACTGCCGATCCTTTAATATTCGCTCCATATGATTCGTGCCTTTTGCATAGTTCTTTCGTTTTTTATACAGTCATCTTGTTTATTTCATTAAACATGTGAAACTCACATTCACTACCTGAATCCTACGACATTCTTAAAAGGTCGCAGTTGCTGCGCTTCCTATAGCTGTTCTGTCCTGTTGCGATCGCCTTATGAATCCGCCTTCCTTGTGCTCGTTTCGTGCTGTAATGCTTGTTTCATCGTTGTTCTCTGTTATTCAGGTGAGCTATGCAAAATTTCGAACTTGTTCTGCTTGTTCTAGTCCAAATTTGCACGTCGTTGTGTACTAGTCTTGTAGTTGCGTGGTAATATGTGCGCAATGATGACTTTGTTTGAGGGCAGTGGGTACGATGGATGGGTGTTTGCTGGCAACGTCGCTGGTGGAAGGGCTGCGAGAGGGCGTTTGGCCACAACTCACTCCGCCCTTCCACCATTGACGTTGGCTGCAACGGGTATGACGAGGGAATCGTTATTTGCCACGTTAGCCAACGTAGCAAATTACGCAGAGCGACGCCGCCCCGCGAGGGTTGAGTCTCCCCTAATCATCCGAATTTAAATATTAAGGGGATGAGAAAGGGTGTTACGCTAGATCATTCGGAAGCACAGTTTTAATTTCCCGCAACCATGGCCGCGTGGCGCTCACAAGGAGAATTCCCCCCGCTTATCGCGAGACGGTACGCCGCGCGCGGCATTGCGGCAAATTACGATTCTTGTGTCCGCCCTGGCAGCAGCAGCCTCCCCCCCCCCCAGCCATCGTGTCCACTGCCTTCCAGATTTCTTCCACATCATCAGTTTGTTCTCGTCCTGTGATACTTGTTTTGTGTTCACGTACATCAAATGTACAATACATTCCTTATTATTTAAATGTTATTGTTCTCAGTTGATATATTTATTTCCTTCTATTTATTTTATGTTATATGCTATCGCAGATGATGTTTCAAATGAAAATCCATATGAATGTGTTTGTGTGCTCGTTTTTTCTTCTACTCTTCAATTTTCACAATCCTATCACTTCTCAGTAACTATAACCTACACCAACTACTTTTCCCAACCATGCATGTAAGCTAATAAGACTAGAAGATGACAATTGAGCGAACTGCTTCATTTCATTTTCTTTTTTTTTACTCTAATGCTGTCATCGCCCTAACATACTCGATATAATCGTAGAGAGTATTTTTTTGTTTATTTTAAGCGATGCTCAACGAACAACACGCTAGCTGATGAGAACAAGCTTATGTCGACTACATCGCTATCGTCAAACGTTGCTAATACTTCTGTTCAAAATGGTGGTGATCATCATCTAGAGATGTCGTCACGATTCGATGAACCACCATTGGCATCGTCAAGTCCTTTGCCTACGGCTCCAGTTGTCACACCTACAGCTGCTCCTGCTCCCGCCCCGGTATTTTCGTTTCCATCGTCTTTGTCTTCTAAGTTCAAGTTTTTATTTTCTCGTGTAGTGTGGCTGATGTTGGGGTAGGTGACAAGACAATCGTAATATGCCGCTCTTGTGGACGTGAAGAGCGACGCAGCACCCGGCGGACGCGTTGTCCTGCTTGGCCATGTGAACTGAAGAGTTAAAGGGACGGGAGATATGATATGGCCCGCCATGGAATTTTGTCTCCGCTTAAATCATATGAGTTTCTTTGCTCCAATCGACAAACTGATGCACATTGAGAATTTCCCACGCCGCCATGATACGTCGCGCGGCAAGTTACGATTGTCTTGTCCTTCTACCGCTGATGTTGGTGTTGACAATTGGTTTCATTCAATAGTCATGGGTTACCCAGCATGATTGCCTTCTAGGTTGCCTTTTGTGTGCTGACTTGGTCACTAAATCTAGAGGATGGTACTCTTAAAAAACCTATTAAGTAACATTTGAAGTAGTGGTCTTCTGAAGTGGGAAGGCGCAGAAGTTGGCATTTACATGACTGGTTTCAAAAATCATGCGATGCGAACAAATGGCAAGCAGTAATTGTTTACGGGATGTTCGAGTTATTGATTATGCTTTAAGAAACCTGTGCGTATTCCGCCTGCAGTAGCACCTAAGCCAACGTTGAGGAATTCGCAGGTTTGTAACTTCTTTTCAACCGCTTTACAGTACCTTCTCTTGAATTTTGTTAAGAAAGCATGACGCATTTTACAGTTACAAAATGTTCCACCATTGGCTGAAACGGCAAATCCAGAAAAACTCACATTTGCGTCGAAGGTGAAAAATTTCGAAAGAGAAATTGAGGTGCAGAAACTAGGAACAAAGCAGGCTTCAGCAAGCAATCTACCATTACCTGGTACTGGATCTTCCTATAAAACTTGTTTACTCAAAGTTTTCGGATGACGTCAGCTACTACTTTGCAGCGATGAAGCCATTACTCAGTGATAATGATGCTCAAAAATTGAAAGAAGATGAGAGCCGAAGAAGAATGGTGCCGTGTCGCGAAGCTATCACACCAGAAGAAGGCGCTGACGGTTTTGAGAAAATGCTTGATGATTGGTACGTTTAAAACGTAAAACATAGGAACCAAAGTAGTCGCCTTTCCCTAAAGTTCATAAGGTTTCTGCTTAAAAGTATGTTTAGTGTGAAATCGAGGGTCGTCACTACAAAGAAGATCGAATGCTCGGTTTCACCAAACCTGATTTCAAGTGAAGCACCTTTAAATGATGTTGAGAAACGGTAGGGCTTTCAAATTCCCATTCTACCCACTCAGATCAGGGGAATTTGACAGGAGTTAAAAAAAACGTATAATCATGCATTGTAAGGAACTTTTTCAACATTTTAAACAACAAAATACGTCTAAAAAACAGAAATTTCAAAAAAGGGCGTGGCCGAGGAGCTGGCGCATAGAGAGGGTTGCCAATAAATTTCCCTTATGTGTACATTGGAACAGTGAAAACATCCTCGAGAACGGTCGCTGAATAGGTTTTTGAAGCAGCCAATTTTCAATAAATCACAGCAAGTGGGTGGAGTCGTCGGGGGCGGAGTCAAATACCATTAAGGAAGAGTGTACTCAACGTTGTATATGTGAGACATTTGATCGTGAAAAAACTATAATGTGCCTAATATAGGCGTGAATTATGTTGCGACAATAAGGGGCGTGGTTATCCAAGACAGGGGTATGTAATAGGGTCTACTGTGTGGACAGGACAGGACATTTATTGTAGCTTCATTTCAGTGCTATGGAACAGCAAAAGCGAAGCGAATGGCGAGCAGCTCGCTTAAAAAGTCTTGATCAAGAAAGAGCAGAAGCAGATGCGATTATGGACCGCCTTCAATTGATCTCAGTGAGTAGCTGTCCAGCACATAATCGATCGACTACGGTAGCGTGCTTAGGTTTATGGTTTTCAGCTACAATCACTGATTTAGTTACCCGTTATTGCTGAAGATGGATGTGCTCCTCCATCGGAGAGGATACTCAATAACGACATTTCTGTTGAGCGAAGTGTCGTTGTGGATGAAAAGACTGGCGAGCGGACCGTTACAATAGTCGAAAAAAGTATCACCAAAAAAGAAGTTAGTTCGTTTTTGAATTTGACCTACTCATCTTGTTCGAAGGGAGATTATTGATTTGACTTCTATTTTGCTGAAAATAGCTGAAAGTAATGTTTTGATGATGCGCATTTTAACTGAAATGCAATCGCTGGCAACCTTGGCCCTGCAATAGCACCCGCAACCTGACTTCTATCATTAGCACCTCGGTAGCGTGCGATAGATCACGGAACATGCATCCCATACCGGAAGGCAGAAGGAGCGTTCCCGAGTACTTACTTACAAGCCTGGTAACTCGGTTTTACCATGGCGACATTGCTCTCATACATACGCCTCCCACGCGTCTCTACCTTTCTTCCATCTAGACCCTCACAGCCACCGCTCTGCCGAAAGAGGACTTCGGAAACGCCCCTTTTCCCTCCCGTATATGGACTGCATGTGCAAACCAGTGTGAACGCTAGATTACCACCACAGTCAACACAGGCAGAAAGTTTGAGCTTTCGAGCACCTAAAGGCCGAATGTTAGCACGCCTTATTGCTTTTATCCTGCTCCTCTCCCGTTTATCTATTAGTTTTGCATGTGCTGAGGTCGTTGCGTTGGGGAGGGAGCATTCGTCAACGGGATTAGGTTTTATCCTTTTTCGCACGTCTACTCCCTCTCACCGAGATGGTATTTGCTCGGTGGCTTTTCCTCCTACGCCCCTACTAGAGGAAGAACTCGCACATGAAGGAAAATCATGTTTTAGCTAACCTACTCCATTCACTTCAACAACGGTTTTCGCTTCGATTCATTACAATAGCCGTTGATCGATTAACATAATATATGGACTAGTCCAGTGTCGACCAGATAATGTGCATTTTCTAAACTCACTGCTTTTCAAGCGCTTTAATTTAGAGTTTCGAAGCTGATCTTGTGTTAGCCTGCCATGCCACGTAATTTCTGGTTTCAACTGTTCGTCAACGATTATTGGTTTCAGATTGATGTGGCAATCGCAGGTGGTGAGATCGATTTTGCTGATAAGTGACATAATATCCGTGGTTATCATAGAGCTTGATTATTTTCGGTTTGTATAATTACCATAGCGGTTGTTATCAGAATTATTCCCATATACATATATTCTTCATATGCAGCTGCTGTTGATTGTGTCAAGGCTTGACCATTGAATTGCTTTACTAATCTATTTGTACATGAGGTCAGGCCGCGTTCAGACTTCGCCCTTCAGGACGCCCTACCCCTAAGCGGTGCGCCGTCGCATTGGCAGATGCCAAGTTGGGCCGCGTTCACACAGTGCCTTTTTAACTTATACTGTTGTGGCGATGCGCCGTTGGCAGTGGCACGTCTCCGGTCGTGGTCGCGCGATCGCGAAGTCTGAACGCGGTCTTACACCTATCTGCAGCTACCACTTATGCCTATAGAAGTCTTTGGATTTCGTGTCTGTATAGTCATTGTATGTGCACTAAAGCAGCTGATGGCTTGGCAATGGTTTCGAGCCCTTATAAGAAAGCTCGCGTTTTCATCATCACCCCGTTACCGTCGCTGGCGTTTCTTTTCTTATAGCAATCCTTTTCATCAGAAAGGAGGAAGGGTGTTCTCAAAGAGGAGTGATATGCTCTTCATAGTGATTGCGACTGGTATCGTTGCATGGTGATATTGTTCTCTGTTATTTTTTTTATCCCTCTTCTATCGCTTACCCTAGAACTGTTTATAGTGTTGTCGAATATGTAAAATGACCTCGAGCTGAAATTTCTTCCATACTTTCATTACTAAAGTTGTTCCGCATATTTCGTGTGCCTCAAAGTGTTGTTAATCATCATGGTTTACTTTTTCCCATGTATGTTATCGTGTTCAAATGCAAAAGAGTTCCTTTTGTATCTCCAATCACATTTACTATGTACTTGATCTGCCGTGATCTTTGTCAGTTGTTTCGTTAATGTTCGCGTATAGCATCAAATTTTTTTACTTCAGTTTTTGTTCACGTATACGAGGTATACTATTTATTATGGGAACGCTGTTCTCGAGATAAATATCTAATAATCGATGTGGACGTGAACTGTGGAATATATAAGAAATTAAAAAAAAACCAGCCTACAGACAGAGCTGGGCGGGGAGGGGCTCCACGGACAACTTGAACCCAATTCATTTGGACGCGTCGAATTTGTGTTTTTCTCTGCTCTCTCTCTTTCTTCTCTCTCTACTCTGGCATTCTGTGGTCATTGTGAATTCGCAATTCCAGCTTTTCACGTATGATAAGTGGCTCACCCACCCCGGGTCTCCTCCCTTTGAAAAATCTCGTTTCCTGGCTCTATAGTTTCTTGTACGTCTCGATGCTATCGCAAGCGCTGCATTCTATCTGTGTGCGTTTCCTGATTTCAAAACAAGACCGTGCACAAAAGTTGAAGTCACGTAACCAGGGAGGGGGTATCCGACAAAGTAGTCGCCGCGATTGTGGGCGTCGCGTGCGACGTTGCCCCGCAAACGACAATGTTTAGGTCGTAAGTGGTGACAGTAGACAGAACGTAACCGAAATTGCCATAAACGTCTATGATGCCGTGCTTTCTATGACATCCGATGCTCAACTGAGGATGTGATGCAACGAAAGAAAATGCTGCGTTGATCGCAGCGCGTGGAGTACAGTTTTACTAGGTGAACATGATGCGGAGCAGACCACGCAAGAGCAGTGAGAGGGCATACAGTCATGATCTCTGCCCGCGATGGTGTGACGGGACGTGGATTGGAACGCTGCCAAGCCTGCCTTTCCCGTCACCGATGTCATCGTGTACACCAGGGTACGCCATCGTTGTGATCATCACAAAGGGGGGCGGGGGTCGTTTTTGACCGCGAGGGAGGGAGGGGTCGTATTTGGTTAGAGAAAAATTTTTTTGATAGTTGATTTCTCTTGTTTCACGGACGCTGTAAAGGAGGGGGGTCGTACTTGGTCACTTTTGGGAGGGGGGGTCGTATTTGGTCAGTTGGTTAGTTCACGGAGCACTACTATTTCCGACAGTTGAAAATGATAGTTTAGCTCTGAAGACCTCTCTTGCCCCCCCCCCCCTCGACGGCTCGGTTCGATGAATAAGGACAGAGGGCAGGGAGGGGGGGGTCGTACCAACTCCCGAAAAGGGGGTCTTATTTTAGTATGGTATTAGGGGGGGTCGTAATTTTCAACAAATGATCACAACGCGATGGCGTGCTTTGGTGTACACGGAACAACTGGCAAGAAACGTTGTTCTGACAGCACTGCAGCTCACGCCCCTTCTCAGGCCCTGTCGTCCCCAGGATCGTGACTATGCATACGAGCAATGCGGAAGAGACAGACTACAGGCGGGCCATTTCTGCTGAGATGGAACCCGTTGCAACGAGCGACGTTGCACTGTAAGCCGACCTAACAACATTCTGACGCAAACTGGTACAAAGTTTTCCACTGCCACTGTCTACCTTTCCCCGCGGAAAGCTTTGCTTTTCACGTGTAATCGGGAAATGTGTCCTTAAAGACAAGTTCCGCGATATCCGTACGCATTGGAGTTCGCAGCTACTTTATTCCGTACACACGCGGCCATCTTCTGTACCCTATTGGAGGGCGGGGCACACTAATCAGGAATGATAAGCAGTTGAGAGTCACTGCCCACCCAACTGTAGCGGAATGTGGCTTCGAATCGCGTGAATCCAACCAAGTCGGCTAGTATCTGCATATCTACATTGTTTGTCTTAATGAGAGGTTTGTTCGAAAGGGTAAAAACACGGCTCTGTAAACTGGGTGGTCACCATAAGTCACTATAAAAGCCTGCCTTTGTCCCGCATTTTAAAATAGGCTTTAGATGTGTGACCTGTTTTGAAGGCAAAAGGCACGAAAATTTGATACGTGGTCCAAAACGGTAACAGGGTGCTAAATAGTGAGGAAATGATGAAAAAGCGAAGTGAAATTGTCAAAAACCTGCAAAAAAGCTCATGTTCTACACGACACAGAAAACATTGTGGACGAGTTTACCGTTGGCATCGTGCCAATAACGCTATGATAGACACGGCTGCATGTGTGCACTCACATATCCATGCAGCACCTCAACCGCTTCATATCAGTCATTTCATTTCACATAGTACTTCGCAAATGAAGCGATACGATCATCAGCATCGGTCGGACGTTTGTGGCGGGCACGGGGGGGGGGGCGTCCGGGTCGGTATGTTGCAGCTCGATAAGGCGCTATGAAGGTACCTTCCTTGGAAAGGGGCCACGCACTGCCTGCTGAGGGGAATTCCGTCCAGCTAGGCATATTAATCCTAGACGTCTTGAGGATATATCGTTTCACTTGCCTTTAAAATGGGCTGACTAACCAGGAGTATTCTCTTTTTCTTCACGGCCTAGCTCTGAGATTCTGTTATTGTGAACTTGGACGTAAGGGTTATCTTCTATGCATACTACTAGCGAAAGGTTCCATTAAAGCTCCCGGTCGAGCGAATGCTGTGTAGTGCACTTTCGAGGACAATGATTACAACTCTAGTGCAAGGGGCTATGAACTCATCAAAGTCGTGCGCGTACATGTTTACGGAAAGGCTGAATAGGTGCTTCCATTCAATATCCCGGGAATATTGAAAGGGTGCCATTCACTACTGCTCACAGGGGATGGGGGTGCGCCACGAGTATCTGCAAAAACGGAAGCCGTCGTCGCCATCGACGAAAAATAGTAGCAGTCATAACGTTCAGCTCAGTCAAGAATTTCTAGAAACGCCATGCATTCGCTTACCACTGAGAACTGTAGCGACGTTTGAAAGCGTGTTTGGCGTATACAAAGACTTGCACTGGATCAAATCCAGACCCATATCACTAATTGGAACAATCGAAAAGCTACTCGGCTTCGAAGGGAGGGAGGGGCATTTTCCACCCTCACTAGTCGCTTTTGCTAAGTCATGTCAGCTCATAGGCCTCACTTTTCCGAGACCTGTGAACTCTTATGAATCCCTGAGTAGTACAAGTGGGCCACTTCAGTGACAGTAATTAACGAATCGTCATAGGATGGTCTCTGCAGGCTTTGCTGACAATGAGTACCATTTGGTGCCCCCACCAAGCTGAGTTGCGCCCACTCGCTACAATGATTAAGCACAATAAGTCGTCTTGGATTGGCGTAACTGCATACAGCCTAATTATCTATTTCCTATTATAGTCAATGGTTGTTAGCGTGAAGTGGCAAAGATCAATGACCAAGCTCTGAAACACAAATCATCTCGTTTATAGCCTCACTTGGCCTCATTATGGGCGTAGTCTCTATAGTAAGTCCCTGGCGAATTGGGTTTCAAGCGCGTTGGTCGAAGCGCTTCGTGTCCCCCGGCACAAGTAAGCTAAAAAGGGAGCATATCACGGCGTGCCTGAAAGAAGCTTTGGTCTAGTAATAAGCTCTCTCCTGCCGGCATCTCATCGCAGTGCGGAGCTTTAAAAGCCTAAAGGCACGGTAATTTTGTACTCATTTGAAAATAGTAGCAGTGATGCTATACAGTGGGGAAATGAGGAAAAAGCGAACTTAAACGGTCAAAACTTGCGGAAAACCTTTTTCTCTGCACGGCATTGGATGAGCATTTTTAGACGGGTTCTCCGTGGTGTCGTGCCAACATCCGCTCCGATAGTACGTCTCCACGTATGCATTCATAATCCACGTAGCAACGCTTCAGACCGATTGTACTTCAATAAGAGTACCATCGTCGATGTGACTGTCCGACTATTCGGGGGTGGGCGGGTGTAGAGGCTTCTGGGTCGGCATGTTGCACCTGCTTGGGCGCTATGACGGTGCTCCTCGTTTGAAAAGGTGTCACGCAGTGGTAATAGTAAGGGGCACAATATTGTTCTAGGCGCATCGACCCTGTAGGCCTTGTCGAATCATCGCGTCACTTGTTTTTAGTCCAGTCTTTGATTGGGGTCCCTTCCCAGGCAGGATAGTCGACAGTCTTATTGTTAGAGGCCACCTCACATTCCCTTCTGAGAAGAAAGAGTGCAGCAGCCATCACGAGCCGAAGGAACACTATTTGTGGAAGTTCTCACACCCATTCGGCGAAGGAATACTCGGGTTATGTTCGGGTTCCAGCATTGGACCAAAAGGTACGAAGAAGGAAGGCGCTCATGGGGTGGGTGAGAAGAACATGCAGTCTCGTCAGCAAAGAAGGAGTACACCTACACATAGGAGCTGTTCTGAAGAGGACGCGGCCAGAGTTGACAGGGCATATTCCGTTCTTGTCACGCAGCTTTGAGGGGTAAGGTGGGACTGACGCCCTTTGGACGCTCTCACTTTTGGCTGCTGATTTATGAGGTGCCCAGATGACGAAATCCGCACAAAACTTGTATACAGCGGTAATTTACCATCCTAATCACGAACATGCCAATCATTCTTGGCGCTGGCTCTAACGGAGAACCTACGATTATATGCCTGCGCTCCTGCTACGGTTGAGCCTAAAAGAAATGGTGGTGCTCTCCATTAGCGCCAGCGCCAAGAATATATCATATTCGTATCAGGATGTTGAATGACTCCTGTGTACAAGTTTTCAGCGAATTTGGTGTTCTAGCCAGCCACAAGTGAGCGCATCCAAATGGCATTAGCCGTAAGGTGGTACAGCGCATCCATACGCCCAAGGACCTGCTCATCGTGTACGTGAAATGGTTTCGAACTAGCGTAACCGCGGTATGTGTCTCTAAGGCAGCGTTCATACTTCGCGACAGCAGCGACGATCGCGGCGATCGCGACGACCTCGGCGATCGCCGCGATCGTCGGTACATGGCAGAGCGCGCCCCAACGATATCACTCCGAAGACTTCTGGGGGTGAGCGACCAATTTCATGCTTTTTCCCTTCAACTACAATTTCCCTAGATACTGACGCTTGAGTTTGACTCAGGGAAAGGGAACCCAGCTTAATTGCTTTTGTTTTCTTTTTTCTTTCTTGATTCAGGACAGAAATGAGCGAAAAGCGTAATAGCTTCATTTAAGGTAGGTTTTTATTGTTTCTTTTTTCATTGCATGAGCTTATACATGAGGCTATAAAGTTTTCACCTGTTGATGTTGCGTAAAATGACTAGTGTTTTGGTTCCCAGGTGAGTTTCTTTCTGTTTCTTTTTTTTTCTTCGTTGTTTCAACTGGACTTGTAAACTATAAATGTTTGAACAGTTCAGACGATAGCAACTTTCGAAGTGCTTTCATAAATTGAAACAATAAAAACAACAAAAAACAAAAAGAAGCTCACCCAGGGAAAAGAGTTGGCCTTATCCCGACCTAAAAAGAAGTGAAACCTTTTTACCTCATGTTCCAGATCTGCTTATGCATAGAAAGTCGTAACTTATCAGTTAGTAGCTATTAGTAAGCGTGAAGAAGGTTTTAAAAGTTGGATTCCCTTATTTATCAGGCGAGCGGTCCATAATAGCGTTGGGGCGCGCTGCCATGCACCGACGATCGCGGCGATCGCCGCGATGGCCGCTGCTGTCGCGAAGTATGAACGCTGCCTAAGGCTGCGTTTATACTTTGCGGCAGCGTAGCGTAGCGTAGCGCAGCGTAGCGTAGCGCTTCCAGCGTACGCCAGCGGCAGTGTCCGAAGAGAGGATGCATATCGATCTAGCTTCACCAGCGTCACCAGCGGCACGCTCTGCCGCGCTACGTCTGAGCACGAAATCTAGGGAACGGACAGCGTTTCTCCAGCGTTTCATCAGCGTTTTGCTAGCGTTTGCAGCGCAGGGGAGTAAGAGACTATGGAGAGCTGGAGGTACAAAACACATCGATTGGCGGGCTCTCACTCGCCTTAGTCTCTACAATGCACATCGCTTCTGCGTCCCGACGGCCACATAGTCTCTAAAATGCACATCGCTTCTGCGTCTCCGACGCCGTATAGTCTCTACAATGCACATCGCTTCTGCGTCTCCGACGGCCACATGGTCTCTACAATACACGTCGATCCCGCGTCTCTCACGGCCACATAGTCTCTACTCCCTGCCGCTGCAAGCGCTAGCAAAACGATGGTGCCGCTGGAGAAACGCTCGAGAAACGCTGGTGAAGCTAGATCGATAGCTATGCTTCCGGCTCCGCTACGCCAGCGTGCGCTAGCGGCACGCTAGCGTGCCGCTAGCGCACGCTAGCGTACGCCAGCGTGCCGCTGGTGACGCTGGTGAAGCTAGATCGATATGCATCCTCTCTTCGGCACTGCCGCTGGCGTACGCTGGAAGCGCTACGCTACGCTGCGCTACGCTACGCTACGCTGCCGCAAAGTATAAACGCAGCCTAAGAGCACATTCTACGCTAGATGTGTGGGCGGAGCCACCCACCACAGGGAGCATTCTCCTTACTAATCCAAAGAGGTTCGCACCAATGGAAAAAAGGATAATGAAAGGCCACCCCCCCACAGTGCCAGCATAGAATGTGCCCTTAAGATTCCATGGTGATGTACATTACGACCTTGTGTAGTACCACTTTATCCCATCACATGCGCTAATACTCATAAAACAACAAATAAAATCTGAAAAGAGATGATTGTTCAAGTTGATGTGATAGATTCAAGGCACAACCATAAAATTCTCATCTAAAAACCGAAATGTCCTTATAGTTACATGTGATTCTAAATCTGCGGCAGCTGATAATTGGAATAATCTCGTCAGTAATAATGTTCACGTGTCAATCATCCTCGGGAGCTATTCGCTGTCGCGATTCGACTTCGGGATGCCAGAGATCAATGAGAAGGATTAGACGTAGAGAAGCTGAGGATGCTCCATCAAATTGTAACTGTAATTGATCAAAATTTGAAAGAAAAATGTTGTAATGTCACCTACACTCCGTACTAGCCTGCTCTCAGGCAGCGTCCAGATTTTGCAATGACGCGCCCCGTTGCAGTAACGCTTCAACGCCATGAGGGGAATGCAGCAAACGGTTGGGTATCGATCGGCGCCGGTGGCGAGCGTCTTGGGAGAGTATGGGAAAATAGGAGGGTATAGGTTAGTTAATCGCACATTTGGTGCCTTCCAGGGTACAGCATAGGGATAGGCGAAATGTCGGTGTGAGTACGACCCCCCCCCCGCTCAGCTCGACCGGCTCCTTCGCCGATTCACGAGCGATGAGTATATAGTCGGCGAAAAAGTCGTCGAGCGAGGGGGGAGGTATACAGTAACTATGCAATGTATATCCGGCGGGTGTACAGGGTGCATATAACACAAAAAATTAATACGAATTAATACGACCCCCTTTTCCCCACAAGAAAAAATCAACTATCAAAATAAATTTGTCTTACCCCAAATACGACCCCCTCCCAGCGGAAAAGTACGACCCCCCCTATGCGTTTCACACAACGATGCTGTGCCCTGGTGCCTTCTCTTCTATACTCTCACAAAACGTTTGCGACTGGCGCCGACCAATTTCTGCATTACCTCTACAGCATTGGAGAGTTTGGCGGTCGACGCGCGTCATCGCGACGTCCGAGCGCAGTTAGCAAAGGTGGTGAATTTAGTAAATGATACACTGAAACCATACTTCTATCATTACTTGTCACCCCATTATAGCGAAGTGTGTTCCATCCTGACTGAAGCACTGTCCCTTCAAACTTACGACACAACCTTTTGTTTGTTGGAATGGGCGCTATTCGTTTTCGGATGTTTTGAATTAGTAAATAAATAAAGGTACTATATCACCAACAAGCGTCAGCCACGCCATACATACAGTCGTGATCCCTCAGACTGGCCATCCGTAATTGCGTACTTCACTGGGACGCGACGGCGGGTGCAGTAGGAGTGGCGATCGATGCCTGCATGATCAGCTGATTTCAGCGATTAATTTTCTATTTTGCCTGTTATTCTGCTAATTAGAAGGAAAAGTGAGTTCTATATTATTACTCTATTTGAGGTTTTATTGTATATTTGCGTTTTTCAGTCGCTATTTGACTGCAGTGACGGTGTTTTACCCACTTTTTGATTTTTTTAGGTTTTTTTTTTTACTAATGAGGACACATAACGACACTGCCATGGAGAACAGTCAACATTCAAAGCACATACAAAAAAACCTAAACAAAATCAAAAAGTGTGTAAAAACACCGTCACTGCAGTCAAATAGCGACTGAAAGCAAAATATACAATAAAACCTCAAATTAGAGTAAATAACATGAACTCACTTTTTCCTTCTAGTTAGCAGAATAACAGGCAAAATAGAAAAATTAATCGCTGAAATCAGGTGATCATGCAGCATCGATCGCCACTCCTACTGCAGCCGCCGTCGCGTCCCAGTGAAGTACGCAATTACGGATGGCCAGTCTGAGGGATCACGACTGTAAGTTGACGCGGCAGAATCATGTCGTGGTGAAAGGTACGTGATATCGTTACTTCCCTAGAGAGTGGCCCCTCTCAAGGCATTTTACGTCCGACTTTCTTCAGATTTCTGGGTATTGCAAAATTCAAGTCCCTTTGATGTTGCACAACATTTGGATCCTAATAAGGCTACGAGGATCACAATCATAATTTGAATAAATAACTCAATAAATGATTGGTCAATAAACAAGAATGAATCAGTATAAACAACGAATAGAAAGTAATAATCAAAAGACTGTCCACATGGGGGCTGAATGCTTACCTCATGTTCAAAAGAGTCATCAAATATTATGAATTTGCCGGTCTTCCATCCACGTTGTTCATTACCCACCCTTAACGACGTTCTCATTACGGTGCACAATCTTGTATCAAATAGGGTTCTAAGGTACCTTATTCGAGCTTCTGATGGTACAATTAAGCCTAGATGGGCTTGTAATCGACTGTTAGTTGGTCCACAATGCGGTAATATTTGTGCTCCCGAGGAAAGAGCCGAAAATCGCATCTGAAAATCGTTCTACATAGACAACATTACTCAAAAGCAAAACTTGGTAAGGTCGTGTTTGATTTGCGAATCGTAGTTATGATTGGTGCGCAGGCTACGTGTTCCAGTTGCAGTCATGTTAGCCCGCATCATGCTCCGCCCCCGAGAAGGACACATGACACATTTGGGATAAACTTGGCTGCACAACTGAAGCGCGCTCCGTTTTGCATACATATCATTATCAGATTTAGTTTCTTTTTGCTGGCCAAACCTCCAGGAATGTGTATTTGAAAATTATCTCCCCAACAGGTAGACAGATATACAGTACTTATGGTAATCTATGGATCCTAAGTATGATAGCGTACCTCAGACTTGCTTGCATTACTGCTTTCGCGGAATTCTTTCAGGATGGAGCAGGTTTGTGGTGCCATTTTACAATTTTCTGTGATGAAATGACCGTTTTCCAGAAGAGGAAATGCAATCCATCTTCCATCAACGGTGATTGCCGGATTCTCCTCTTTCCACAAGTACGGCACCGACTGCAGCAGTCGAGCCGCTTCAGCACGGATAGAAACCCACTGGCGTTCAACGGCCTGAAACGGAAGGCATGGTAAATGCAGAAAGGTAATTACCAGAAACAGGAATACTGAGGACTATCGTTACTAGTTTCTACTGATTGGGCTGGAGGGGGTCACTTGGCATTTCCGCACCGTCGATTGGCAGGTGATTTCACATGCGATCTTGTATTAAAGGCAGTTGGCACGGTGATTTCCTACTTAGCCTAAAATGCTAGTAGGGCGCTGTATAGTGGGGGAAATGGTGAAAGAACGGCGTGAAAAGCTCGAAATCCTGCGAAGGCAAAGCCTCCGTTCTCAGTGACTTGAAAATCGATTTCGGACGAGTTTCCCGTAGGCATCTCTTGCCCAATCACCGCTAACGAATATACGCTGCATATGTGACCCATACACGTATGCCAGCATCACGGCCCCGCTTCACACCAATCCCTTCGCTTCATATTTGCCTAACAAATGAATGAATACGAGCGTCCGGAACGGTCGTACATTTTGGTGGCGGCGGGTGGGCTGGCGTTTGGGACGTAATGTTGTGGCTTGATAGGGCCCTTATAAGAGCACCTTCCTCGGGGAAACCGCTATGCAGCGCCTGACAAGGGTCGCGAATTCTACCTGCCAGGAGTATTGATCTAGTCGTCTTGGGGATTTATCGTGCAACGCCTTTAAACTCTACTTCGTCTGCGTATCTGGAAATCAGCCAAATTGGCAACTGAAACAACCTTGAGGTATTTGGAGTAGCCGGTTGTTCACTTGTCACCCAAGCTCTGCCAGTAAGTCCCTCCACGTTGTACATGGATCGTTGTTTTGGGCAGAAAGGAATCAGACCAAGTGAAGCAGCATGTTCGAACACACTATATGCCTACAATTTTCAATTAGAATACGGCCAGCTAGTGGCAAAGAAAATCTTCACGATAATGTCTTCTTCACTGGGGCGTCCCTGCTCTGCACCTATCGAAACGAGGGGTGCCGCCAATGAGGCAGCCACTACGATTGGGTTGCTCCACCAAACTGTCAGCGTCGACTGTGCGTGGTGAGACTTATATGCGATACGCTCTTGTGGCTGTGGACCAACCCAATCGAAAAGAAA